GAGAGTGTGACTTGCCCAAGGTCACCCAGTGGGTTTCCACGGCCGAGCCAGGATTCGAACCCCGGCCTCCAGAGTCGCAGCCCAGCGCTCAAACCTTTATGCCATGCTGGCTCTACATTCACAGATTTTTTAACGTTGGGATGCCTCTAAATAAAATCTTCTCTGGTCTGTTGTTTTTATGGCTTGGACAAAAAAGAAAGTGTGGTCAGTGAGAGGATTAATGGGAGCAAACCATTAAAACTAGATTTCTGATGGCCTTATTTTTACTGATAAAAAGGCTTTGATGGTTGGGAAATCACTCCTCTGCATGAAATGTAGTGAGAACCTGTTTGGTGGTTTGAGCGTTGGATTACAACTCTGGAGACCAGGGTTCGAATCCTTGCTCGGCCCTGGAAACCCACTGGGTGACCTTGGGCATGTCACACTTTCTCAGCCTCAGGGGAAGGCAATGGCAAACCTCCTCGGAGCAAATCGTGCCAAGAAAACCCTGTGATAGGTTCCCAGGATTCCCTAGCACTTAGCCAGGGCAGTTAAAATGGTCTCAAACTGGATTATTTCTGCAGTGTGTTTCGGAGCTATGACTCTGGAGACCAGGGTTCGAATCCTGGCTGGGCCATGGAAACCCACAGGGTGATCTTAGGCATGTCACACTCTCTCAGCCTCAGGAGAAGGCAAAGGCAAACCCCTTTTGAAGAAGACTCATGAGTCAGAAACAACTTGAAGGCGCACAACAACAAGCACAAAGTGCCTTTAAAAATGGTTGGTGGAGGAAGAAAGAGAGATTCCTTTTCCTATGAGAAATGGGATATTTTTTAAAAAATGATGCCTGATTTTCATCTGTGAAATACCGAAGGGTTTGCACTGGATTTTCTGTCTTTTTTCCTTGCATATGACATGGCTTTCCAAATGAACGGTGGCAGTGGGGGGATCTGGGGGTTGATAAAAATGATCTGGATTCCAGCAAACTTGGAGTGGAAATGGAACTTTTTCTCCCCTTGCAATTGTTGGACTTCTAACATCATTTGCTTTGCTTTGGAAGAGTCAAACCTCCAATGAGTTTTTCTTTTCTTTCTCTTTTCCTAGCGCAAAGACCAACTTCCCAAGATGGATCCTTTCTCAGGAGTGCAGCAACAGAGGAAGGAAGGGATCAATTCTCTTTCAATCCCTGGTCAGTTTTCAGCACCTGCCTCGGCCTTCAAATGGTGCAATGTGCATTTTAAAAAAAAAATAAACTGTGCAATGGCGCCTGTTGATGTCTTTCATGTGCCCTTTGGCCCTGAGGATTTTAGGTCCAGGATTTGGTTGGTGGTAGTCACTAGAGGGCACGCCGCTGTCGCAAAAGGAAAGCCACCTTTCCCCTCCAAAAGGCAAAGGCAGCCTTGCTGGAAAGAACAGGAATTCCCAAGGTCACCTCCGAACTTGGCTCACTTTGGAGGAGAGCCAGGCAGCAACCAGGAAAGCCATTTGCTCTGAAAGATCCATTTGCCCAAAGGGCTGGCAGATCCTTCCCAAGATCTCAGACCTGAGAAAAGCCGGTGCAGGACAATGACCCGCAACAGATTTATTGTCGCATAGGCCACTGTATGCAGAACATATTGTAAGAAAAGCAGGCTTGGATGCAGAAGAAGGAGGAGTGAGCCGCCCTGATTGGGCTTCCAAAGGGCGGGATATAAATATATTCTATTATTATTTTATTATTATTATTATTATTAGGAGTGAAAAGAGGAGGAAGGAATAGCAACCATCTGAGAAATGCAGATGACACCATAGTAGTAGCAGAAAACCTCACAGATCTATCTGTTCAACTTGTATGCAGAACATATTATAAGAAAAAGAGGCTTGGATACAGGAGAAAGAGGAGTGAGAATAGGAAGAATAGCAATAATCTAAGATATGCAGATGACACCAGAATACTAGCAGAAAACCTCACAGACCTGGAACACCTGCTAAGGAAGATCCAAGAAGAAAGTGCAAAGGCAGGCTTAATGCTGAACATCAAGAAAACAAAAATAATGAGCATGGAAGACTTTCACAAGTTCAACGGAGACACTGAAGAAATAGAAACAGTAAAAGAGTTCTCATACCTGGGATCAAACCTTGATAGAAATGGGGACTGCAGTCAGGAAATCAGAAGAAGATTAAGAACTAGAAAAGATTCTAAAATACAAAGATATATAACTCAGCACAAAAGTTAGAATCATACAAGCCATTGTATTCCCTATGACCATGGATGGTTGTGAGAGCGGGACATTTAAGAAAGAGGATAGGAAGAAAATCAATGCATTTGAGAGAATGTGGGGCTGGAGAGGAGTGTTGAGGATCCCATGGAGAGCCAAAAGGACAAAAATAAATCTGTGGCTATGGAAGGCCAACTGTCCACAGTCAAACCACTTCCAACTAATTCAATTCGAAACAAAGGGTGCTACATGATCCCTTTGTTTACTAACCTGGCGAGTTTTTAATGTTTTAAATGTTATATTTAATGTTATAGAAGATGGCTCCATTACAGATTCCTGCAGAAGAGGAATGTTGTTGCAGCTAGAGCAGAAATGGATACTTGATGGCAAACCAATAATAAATTTGTTAAAAGTTAGGAAAAGATTTCAGGATCATTTGCAACAGAGAGTTGATTGTTTAACAACTTCTGGATTTGTGGGTTAAATATCTTGGCTATTCTCTGTTCCTTTGCAAAGCTGACTACTAAAAAGATTGGCAGGGAAAAAGAGTGAATAGTTTCCTTTAAATTCTACTCTACTTTTAGTTTTTAGTTGACTTTAAATTCTTTAAATTCTTCAGAAGGAGAATTGCCATCCCTGGAGGCTGAGAGAGTGTGACCTGCCCAAGGTCACCCAGTGGGTTTTGCAAACTTTGAATAATAATTTTAAAAATCTATTTATTTATTTTTGCATGAAAGGTATATTGATTGCCATCCTCAGAGGCTGAGAGAGTGTGACCTGCCCAAGGTCACTCAGTGGGTTAAATAATAATTTAAAAAATCTATTTATTTTTGCACAAAAGGTATATTGATTGCCACCCTCGGAGGCTGAGAGAGTGTGACCTGCTCAAGGTCACCCAGTGGGTTTTACAAACTTTAAATAAACTTTAAATAATAATAATAATAAAAATCTATTTATTTATTTTTGCACGAAAGGTATATTGTTTGCCATCCTCAGAGGCTGAGAGAGTGTGACCTGCCCAAGGTCACCCAGTGGGTTTTACAAACTTTAAATAAACTTTAAATAATAATTTAAATAATAATAAAAATCTATTTATTTATTTTTTTGCATGAAAGGTATACTGATCTAAATAGTTTAAGAGCTGACCTTTGGTAGTGGTTTGAGAGTTGGACTCCGACTCTGGAGAACAGGGTTCGAATCTCTGCTCAGCCATGAAACCCACTGGGTGAGACCAGGGTTTAAAATAAATCCCAGCTTGGCCATATAAACCCACTGGGTGACCTTGGGCAAGTCACACTCTCTCAGCCTCTGAGGAGGGCCATGGCAAACCCCCTCTGAAGAAACCTTGCCAAGGATATCCTATGATAGGTTTTCTCTTAGGGTTGCCATAAGCAAAATAAAAATGGCCAGAGTGGTGTAGTGGTTTGAGTGTTAGACTATGCCTCTGGAGATCAGGGTTTGAATCCTGGCTCAGCCATGGATGCCCGTGGGGTGACTTTGGGCAAGTCACATTCTCTCAGCCTCAGAGGGTGGCAATGGCAACCCCCCATCTGAAAACCCTGGGGAAACCCACTGGGTGACCTTCGGTGAGTCACATGCTCTCAGCCCCAAAGGATGGCTTGGCAAACCCCTGTGAAGAACTCTTGCCAAGAAAACCCCATGATAGGTTTGCCTTAGGGTCAGCGTAAGTCACAAAGGACTTGAAGGAACACAAGAAGTCAAAAATAACTTGATGGACCACAACAACAACAACAGCACACCTCCCTTTAACCCTGGCTTGAACATTGGACTATAGATGACTCTGGAGACCAGGGTTCGAATCCCTGCATAAAACCCCACTGGGTGACCTTGGACCAGTCACACTCTCTCAGCCTCAGAGGAAGACCATGACAACCCCCCCCCACAAAGAAACTTGCCAAGAAAACCCCATGGGAGCCACTGGGTGACCTTGGGCCAGTCACATCCTCTCAGCCTCAGAGGATGACTATGACAACCCCCCTCTGAAGTGCCTTGCCAAGAAAACTCTATGAGACCCACTGGGTGACCTTGGACCTGTCACACTCTCTCAGCTTCAGAGGATGACAATATCACCCCTTCCCCCAGAACCTTGCCAAAAAAAAACCCTATGAGACCTACTGGGTGACCTTAGGCAAGTCACACACTCTCAGACTCAGAGGATGGCTATGACAAACCCCTTCTGATGAAACTTTCCAAGAAAACCCCATGATCGATGGGGTCACGTTGGCCAAGTCACACTCTCTCAGCCTCAAGAGGATGCCCATGGCAAAAAACCAAAAACCAGAAACCAAAAACCAACCCTCTCTGATGCAACTTGCCAAGAAAAAAAAACAACACAACAACACAACACAACACAACACAACACAACCCAAGGCAATGCAATGCAATGCAATGGTGCTTTTGCAGTGGTCTGGAGCGTCTCCTTTAAGGGCTGCTCCAGGAGGCGGGTTGGAGGCGGGTTGGAGGCGCGTCTTCCCAGTTAAAGGCGCCTCCTTGGAGGGCAAGTGAGCCAGGCAAGTGGGCGACTGGGTCCTTGCAAGGAGAGGCTGCAGACACACAGAGGATCGGATCGGATCGGATCTGCTTTGCAAGACCTGGTCACTAGCCACCGGAGGGGATCTGGTAGCCAACACCAGGGATGAGGAGGAGGAGGAGGATGGCCAAGACCCCGCAAAGGACTGGCATTTGATCTCCTTCTTGGAAGGTCGCCGCATTCACCTTTCCCGCCGCTTGGGGGCGCCCTTTGGCCGCTCTCGCCCCATCCGTTTTGGGGGGCCGCCACGGAGAAGCCCATGATGTACACCATCACGCGGGGACCCAGCAAACTGGTCACCCAGCGGAGGACTGGTAAGGACCGGGGCAACCACGATCGGGGGACACACGTGTCTGGATGGGTGCGTGTGAATTGGCATACACGCGTCTATCCCTTGTTTGGTGTTCCCCTCCCCTCCCCTCCCCCAAAGGGAGGGAAGAAAAAGCAGCTCAGCACACTTTTCATCGCCTCTTTTTTCTCTCTCTCTCCCTCTTTCCCTTCCTTTCTGTGGATTTTGGGTTGGGTTGTACTTTACTGTCTAACCAATGCGGCCACCCCCTTCCCTTTGGCAAAAGCTAGGGAATCCTTTGCTGAGAGGATTGGAGTTCCTTCCCTTCTCCTCAGCCCCCCCTCCTCACCTCTCTCTTCTCTGTGGATGATGGGTGTTGTTATCCTTTGGTTAACTCGACTAACCCAAGCCTGGATATGTCCCCTTTCCCTTTCACAAGTTGTAAGGATCCTTTGTTGTGTGTGTGTGTATGTGCTTTTCCTTCTCTTCAACCCCCCCTCACCCGTCTCTCCTCTGTGGATGATGGGTGTTGTTGTCATCCTTTGGGCAACACGGTTGTTCCTGGATAGATCTCCTTTCCCCTTGGCAAGATCGAGGAGTCCTTTGCTGGGGAAGAGGACTTTCCCTTCTCCTCAGCCTCCCCCACCTCTCCTCTGGATGATGGGTGCTGTTATCCGTTGCATAATACAGCTACCAACCACTCTGTTACCTTCCCTTTGGTAAGATCTACGGATCCTTTGCTGGGGCGGAGGGGGGGCATTTTCCCTTCTCTTCCACCTCTTTTCTGTGGATGATGGGTGTTGTTGTCCTTTGCTTACCCTTCCCTTTGGCAAAACCGAGGGTTCCTTTGCTTGAAGGGGGGGCACTTTCCCTTCTTCTCAGCCCTTCCTGCTTTTCTGTGGATATTGGATGTTGTTATCCTGGGAGGCCTTCC